TTCTTTATACAAGCATTGTTTCTATACAAATATCACTCTGCTGCTTTACTCAGTAAGAAATCAAACTTATTTGACACCTGTGCAAGATTTCTTTGGAAATCAGATAAGAAATAGTATGTTCCACAGCGTTCCTAATCCAGCCCAGTTACTTCAATTGTCCCATCATCTTTCCCCACTTCCACTTGAGAAAGTAACCAAAGTCAACAAAGGGCTTTGATCTAGTGGCTGATGTCTAGAAGCTGGAGACGATGCGCAAGCAGGATACACGTAGAAACAAGGGAACACTAAGCACAAAACCACCTCCTGCTCTTTCTTTCCAAATACACAACATCCACAATATATGTTCTCAATCACAGCCAACCTCACCTTGACATTAGACATTTCTACACTGCGGTCAGGCTGTAACATCAGCCTCACAGAGATTCCTCAACTAGCTTTAAAGTAGTTGGGCTCACATACACGTAACGGCGGTGCTGCTACAATAAAATACTCCTAAGAAGGTGGAAAAATACTGGAGGGTTGGGGCGTTAACCCACTAGCAGAGGATTAAACAGGATGACCGAGATAGTAGCTGCCCTCAGGTGACAGACCCACCCCTGTGGAAGCTGCCCTGTCTCTTCCAACAGGGTCAGTGAATGGCACAGAAATCCACTTGTAGACCAACCCAATTTATCGTCCAGCATGTTAAGGTAAACAAGAAGCACAGATTCACATGCCTTTCTGCCATCAATGGTGGCAGGAAGGATGTGGCAAGGGCAAAAGACACAGCACCTGAGTTACCACCCCACTTGATCCATCATTAAACATGCACAAAGATCGTGTGACCACGATGTTGTAAGCTTTACCACTCCTACCACTAGCAGTAGTGCCCAAACTTCAGTCACCCCTGCAGCTTGTATTCTCTTACTCTCTAGTGTGATCAGAATTTCTTGCTCCAAACATGCCAGCAAACCAGTTTACTAGGGCAATATTCAGCAATAGCCAATTTTGAGGGAATATTGAATCTGCAGACACCATCACTGAAAGAAAACGACACACAATCATCATAGGGACATGTGTGTGATGTGAGTCCCTAAACAGAGTTACAACACATCATCAACTTAGTTCTTTTTTTGCTAATGGCTTTGCATCTAAGCTACAATAAAAATGTCAATTCCAAAAGGATATAGTGCTTACTAACATGATTTCTCTAGCCCAGGGCAAACCCAACTGAATTATGCCATAAACTTTAGGAACAGTACATATTCATACATCTGAGAAAGAGCAGCAGAAGACTGTAACCAAATCTGGACTGCTGCTTCTACCCTGGGAGTCAGCTTGCACAGACATCAAAGCTTGATACCAAGTGCTGTTCTTCAACATTGGTAAATGCTGCTCTCTGCTAGTCACACATCACCTAATATTGGCAACAGTAATAAATCATTTCTGCCATCACTGAATTGTGCTGGATAAACTGTACCTGTTTCAGAACAGGACTTAGGTCCTACTAAGGGGTCTTCTGGCAAAGACAGTGTACTGGCACCTGCCAAACTGAGTTCTGCTGCCGATTCCGATACAGAGTTCAGAAACACCACACAAACTACTGAAGGAGGGCACTGTGGTCTAAAGGAGAGAGAAGAGGAGACAGAATTGGGAGATCAAACTACAAATCCCAACTCTGCCACCGTCTCATTCAGATAGTCTCTTATAGATCACAGTGCCTTGTGAATAAAGCTGATCTGAGAAGACAGGATTCATCCTCAGGTTTGGCATGCAACTCTTGAGCAGGTCACCTAAATTTCCAGACACTGGTCTCTCACTTCCATGGGAAGATGTTTCAGTAAAACTGGTTATGTGATTTTGCAATTAGGTTGTGTTCTTTAATGAACTCTTAACAAATTAACAAGGCTAATGTGCTGAATTCCTTGAGTCGTGATCCCTCGAAATGCAATTCTTCCTCCACACTACCAAGCATCTTACTACTACATCTTCAAGTAAGGGAGGCGCCTTTGGTACAAGTAAAGAGAAGTCATTTGAATACTTCAGAAAAAGGTTTGCAAATACTGTAACGTCAAAAATACACAGGCACACCAGCTTCCCGACACTGCTTCCAAAAGGATAAAGTTGTAAGCACGGTGAGGATACCATGGGCAGGAGCTGTAGGCAAGGAGAATTAGCAGATGGGGAGCAGAGAAGCCTTAGCAGACCACCAGGTCATGCACCACTAGTAAACTTTCACCATCTACCAAAGGTGGAAAACAGATGGAAGGAGAAAGAGACAGATGTTTGGTTTTCATTTTGTTTGCAGAGAGAAAGAGGAAAGGGCTTATGACTACTTCTTGTCATGAACGACCACAGAGTTCATGCCCCCAGTTTGGTGTACTGGACTTGGCCTAAACCATATAATGCATTCTCAACCAGGACTCCCAGACTTGCTTGCACTGCTACCACCATCTACCGTAGCAGCAGCAGAGGTTCTGCTAGTGATGACAGCAGCAGCTCCTGACTTTCTGTTGAGCCAAAAAGCAAACACAGGAGAAAGTGTATTTCCAGTTTCATCCTTCAGTTGGATTGGACAAAGATTGGTGGATGCCTGACCCCAGTTCTCTGACTCTCAAGCTAATGCCAAGCTTTTGCACTGAATTTGATATTAGCATATTTGTCTTCCCCACAAGCTTGAAATATAGCATCTATAAACCTTACAAAGTCTTCTACTACTAAAGACCTGTAGCCTGCCATCTCCCTGTAAAATGACATACAGGTTCTCCTCATCAACTGAGTGCTTTAGAACTATTTAAATCTGCAACACCACCAGCGCCCAGCGTGGTAAACAAGCTGTACACCTTTGGACACAGCCTCTCAAGCAGGACGGGAACCAACTGGAGAAAGTCAACAGATGAGTAGATCCAAGAAGCAGGACTTCCAAAGGACGAATAAACTAGCAAGGATTTCTGAACAAAGAAAGGAGGACGGGATTTCTCTGATGTGTTAAAGGCCATTTGAAGAAGGAAGACGATAGGTCCGTTCTCCCTATCTGTGGAGACAGGAGAAGCAAAGGGCTTAAGTGCAGCAAGGCATGTGGAGATTAGTAATACTAACAGTAAGAGAAGGAACCACAAGGAATGGACCAGATAAGGAGGTTGTGGAGTCCCCATTATTTAATGCACTGAAGAATATGGTAAGCAGACATCCAACATAAATGCCTGTCATTAGGGGACTGGAGCATCTCTCTTACGAGGAAAGGCTGAGGGAGCTGGGCTGGTTTAGCCTGGAGAAGAGAAGACTGAGAGGGGATCTTATATATATCTTAAGGGTGGGTGCCAAGAGGATGGAGCCAGACTCTTTTCAGTGGTGCCCAGTGACAGGACTAAGGGGCAATGGGTGCAAACTGAAGCACAGGCTGCCCAGAGAGGTTGTGGAGTCTCCTCTGGAGATATTTAAAACCCGCCTGGATGTGGTCCTGTGCAGCCTTCTCTAGGTGAACCTGCTTCAGCAGTGGGGTTGGACTAGATGACCCCCAGAGGTCCCTTCCCACCCCTACGATTCTGTGATCTCACTCTAGGACAAAGGGAAGAATGAATTATATGATCTCTGGAGGACTCTGGTAACACTCTTCTGACACTTTGGGAAGTGAGTATAAGCACGTGCAAGCAGGCTGCTAATGCAAGGTATCTACGTAATTCATCTAGCAAAGCTTGCCTAGTCTTCTCAGGAAACCTCCTACTTATCTGTCACGGAACCCTAGACCCATAAACCTGCAGTTCCAAAAACACTCCTTCCAAACCATCCATCTCCTACAGACCCACAAAACTCTTGGCCAAGTTATAAGCGACACAATGATGATTGAGTCTCAGTAAGTGATGCACAGGGTGAAAGATCTAGGAAGTGAGCATGGAGCTAAGCACCAAAAAAAGGCAACAGCAGACAGCAGGCACGTTACAAACCACATGTAGAAACCACAGCTAGAGCCAGCAACTCAGCAGTTGCAAAACCAGCAGCGTGTTAGGTCACGAGGCATCAAACATAGGTTGAATATCACTCAAAAATGCCTCACAGACCATCAACAGAACATTATTTCTGAACCTGCAGAACACAATACTCAGTTATGAAGTTGTTTTCAGAACTTTAGATTCGCCTTTCCCACTCAGAATGCTTCAGTCTTTTTCCATTCACATCATGGAGTGTTTTGATTCTTAATAGTAGCAACCAAAAATTTATACCAGAGGAAGTCCATCACTCTCCTGTGCTACGAAATACCACAAAATTTAGAGAACTGATTTTAGCATTGGTGATCACCAACTCACACAAAGGGCAAGTTGCTTCTTCATATCTTATTTATCTGGATTTTTTTAAAACAAAGTTATATTTACCATTTTCCAAAAGTCCTTAAAATAACAAATGCTATACATTTCCCCATAGAAGCCTTTTTCAGGCTTCTTTGGGTGTGGTACTACTTGAAGTGTAAAACGCAAAAATTTAAGAGAGAAAACCTTTCCAGGATGGCCTATAAAGACAAAGTAAACCTACATCAAGTGCAGTGGTGGATGCTGATGCCGACCCATTCCAGAGATTAAAACCAATATTACTCATTTCTACTGCTAAAGTATCCTATTCTTTTAACTATTGAAAACACAGTAAAACTAGTGCACTGACTCAATGACAAATGCTAGTTTCATAATGAGGGTGGAGCATGCAAGCAACTATAAAGGTTGCCCCAGTCTGAGACTCTCACTTCTGCTGGATACACTTGAAAGCTTTGGATTTTGAGTGAGGTAAGCATAACCTAAACATACTGGGTGTTTCAAATCTTTGAACCTAACTTCGATTACTTTTTCTTTCTTGGGAGAGCTGATCCAGAGGAAAAAAAATACTGCCTCTTTTCATCTAGGTTAAGTATTAAAAAATTCATATGGTTAGTAAACCAATGAACTAGGTGTCAGACGTATTTCAAAATTCTGATGCACAGCAGTGTTATTGTCTGCTTTGTCCACAGTTACTCTTCAAGAAAACATCCAAGAAACATGGAACATCTGCTCAATGACAACCTTCTGAAGTATTTCACCCAGTATGCTTTACTGGAGGGCAGCACCTCTGCACTGTCCATTAGTGGGCTCAAAAATCTACTTCAGAATCAATTTGCACAGTACCTGAAGGTAAGTGTCACTTATTGTATTCACTATGCTTCCTACAAAATGGATAGGAAACAGGAATTACAAGCAATGATGTTGCAAGGCAGATTACCGTGCTCAAATGGTTTCACTGACACCATAAATAATCCTTAAATAAGGGTTGGCTTACAAAACTTCTTACATATTAATGAACAGCAGCACCAAACAGATATTTGAGTAGGCAGCTCATAAAAAGGCCCTATGAAATAATATTTAAAAATCTAAGACGCTGTTTTGTTTGGGTTTTTTTTTATGTAAGTCAGATTTCACCTAGAATATTGCATCTGAATCTTATAAAATATTTTTTGTTTCAGTCTAAATGATAAATCTTGAATCTAGAAAATATTTAGAAAAATCTATAAACCAAGTACACCAGTAGGACAAATTTAAAAGTAAGGGACATGAGACAGTTTCTATCTAGATTAAGTTCCCACCATTGCAAAACAAAAGGTTTGCCATTACAGAAAGATGCCAAGTAAAAAAAAAAGGAGATGCCACCAAGCTACAGAGAAAAATACTCATTTCCTGTAGCTGGGAAAAAAAATCTAGGTTTGGATTTCATATATATTCTCTGCTAGACCTTTCCTGGATTAGGACTGAATTTAGATTCTTTTGGTAGACAAATCCTTAAATAGTTTTTTTGGATAGCTGAAAAAAGCAATTTCTGCTAAAGGTCTGAAAGAAGTTGCACTTCAATAGAAAAATCCAGTATTTTGAGAATTACAGTAATCCAATTTAGTTGTTTCATTAACATAAAGTGGCTAATTAAAAACAACAACCACCCACCAGTTTTTTTTTCCCTTAAAAAACATGTCATAAATTAATTGCGAAAAATTAATAAGAAATGTGATGCCAAATTCAGAAATAGAATGCTTTTTCTACTAGCTGTAGACGATTTAGCACCATACCCACTTTCCCAGATATGTGGAAAAGCAAGTGTTCAGGAAAAGGAATACTGATTTTTTTCTGTCTGGACATCAGCATCTACTCTGTTTGCAGAAATATATGGCACCATAATAAATCAACATAAAAGCAGGACAGGACATGCAATGCATAGACATAAAGTCTTTTCTTTCTACAAAGAAAGAAAACATTTGAAAAACTTGTATTATAAATCAAAACTGGTCTTATATTTTTTAATTAGCCTGATCAGGGACATTATCAGAATACTCACTGCATCAGGATGTTACATGCAGTTTTACCAGACATGACAAACAAAAGCAGCTAATAATCTAAACTATATTTATTGCATTTGAAATAATTTACC